ACTGTGTCGAATGCTTTCTCATAATCCACAAATATTAGGACGAGGGGTTTATTGTACTCTATACATTTTTCGATGAGGCTTTTAATAACTTGTAGATGGTCGTTTGTGCCGAAGCCTGACCTGAATCCTGCCTGTTCGCATGATTGGTAAAAGTCCATTTTGTTCGAAAGTCTGTTTGTTATGACTTTTGTAAAAAGCTTGTATATGTGTGAGATGAGGCTGATTGGTCTATAGTTTACGAGATTTGTTAAATCTCCTTTCTTAAACATTAGAATGATCACTGCATTTTGCCATTGTGATGGTGTTGTTCCTCTTTCAAGGCATTCTGTGAAAAGTATGGAAAGCATTTGTATCAGTTTCTCGCCTCCTAATTTTATGGCTTCGGCAACGACCCCGTCGTCGCCAGGTGACTTGTTATTTTTCATTTTAGGAGAGCTTTTTTGATTTCATCAACAGTAACATCTGGTATGTCTTCCGAGCCCTGGTTTAGAACCTTTGGTATGTTGTCAGTTGGAACATTTTCTTCTGTTTTGCTGTAGAGTTCGCTGTAAAATTGTCCGACAGTTTGTAGAATTTCCTGTTTATCTGTTATTATTTCGCCCTTTGTGTTTTTCAGTTTGTAAATATTTTTCTTTCCTATTTGCTGTTTCCTTCTGAAGACTTTTAAACTTTTGTTCTCTTCTATGACTTTTGATATCTCTCTGGTGTTGTAGTCTCTTATATCTTTTCTGATGTTCTTAGTGATTTGTTTGTTTAGTTGTCTCATTTTTGTTAGATTGGTTCTGTATTTATCTGTTAGTTGTCTTCTTTCCTCTAATAGAGTTTTCGTGCTTAGACTTAGTTTTTCTTCGTCTTTTTGGTTTTTTGGGCAACATTTTTCTTGTGCTTGTTTCAGAGCTTTGATTATTTTCTGGTTTAGTTGTTCGATGTTTATGTTTTCTGTTTCTTCGTTTTGTAATTTTTCTTCGACCGTACGTTCAAACAGTTTTGCATTTTCAGGTGGTACCCATCTTCTAACATTTGGTTTCGGAACAAGCTTCATTCTTTCTTTTTTAACGTTAAGCATTACTTTTGTTCTTATCATCCTATGGTCGCTGCCAGCAGAGAACTTGTTGAGTACTTCCACGTCTTGTATTATATATTTTTTATCTGTAATTATAAAGTCGATTTCGTTTTTGACGGCGCCATCAGGGCTTATCCAAGTCCATTTATTTTGGGGTTTCTTTTTAAAGAAAGAGTTCATTTGAAACATGCATTGATGATGTAGAAAGTTTAAAAGCATGTCCCCTCTTGCGTTTCTTGCCCCGTATCCGTACTTTCCTAACGCGATCTCCGCTTGGTCTTGTTTGAATCCGAGTTTTGCGTTGAAGTCGCCCATGAGAACAGTATAGTGTGTTCGTGTTCTTTGTTGTGCCTCTGCTACATCCTCATAGAATTTTTCAACTTCTTCATCTGTGTGTCCAGTTGTCGGGGCGTAGACCTGTATAACTTTTAAACTATAACGAGAGTTTAGTTTTAATATCAATAGGATGACTCTCGTGCTTATGGTCTCAATTTTTGTTATGTTGGGTAAGTAAAGGGGCTAGGAGAGAACTAGCCCAAAACAGGTTTTTTAGCTACACTGCAATATACTTACGACTTAAAATGTTAAAAGTAGCGAAAAATACGTCTTTACAGAATAGTTACAGGGATAGTTTAGTCATCGGAAAAACCATATACATATAACCAATCATATTTAAGGTTAGGATCAAGTACTGTTGGACGAGTTCATTTAACTGACAAAATAAGGGAGTTCGTTATACAACTAGCAAACTTTTTCAATTTCATTAAAATCTATGACACAGATACAGACAAATATCAGTTTTATATAATAATTGAATGTTATTATTATGTGATGTGTCTATAAACAAACTCGTCTCGTTTTATCACTAAAATTTGGCACGCGTCAAGGCCATCAACGAGGTATAAAAGAACACCCTAATAGAAAATCAGGTCATTCTATTGTCAACGAGACGTGTATACGTACGATATAACTTTGACAGTGAACGTTGTGATTTGTTAGCTTCCTGCGTTGTTCGTAAGACGATCAATATGGTTTGGTCTTTAATTAACACAGGTAAACGTTTTATATAATAGTGCTGTATAGTAATGTAAGTTCCGTGTGTAGCCATATTCAATCAGAGAAGATTATATTGAGGATGTTTGTTTTTATGTTAACGTATTCGCTACCCTCTTACCATTCCAACGAGCCCTCGTACGTCACGATCTGACCAATAACAATTTAGATATAACGTAATGCCGTTTTGGCACAAAAATGTAGATATATGATCATTCATGTTAATCAGTCATCTTTCAGGTACGATTCATGTTGAGCAGCGTTAGGCTGATATCTCTATCGAATAACATTTTTTTATGGATTGGTCATACTGTACGAATGGTATATACTCTTTGTAAAGAGCAAGTGTATGATTGAGGTGGGATCCATGTATTGATCGGCCACTGTAGACTTGTATGTTCAGGTGAATGTTTGGTGGTTTGGTCATACTGTAAGAATGATATCCGTTCCTATTCGTTCTGGCGATAGCAGCTACTGTACGTTTCCATATCAATGAATTGTTTCGAGATAGAACGGCTTTTTCGGTAAGGTCTTTAACGTACATATAGCAATCTGGCAAACAGAGATATGTTGAAATGCCGTTTTGGCACAGTCTTTGTGTTTTAACATATTCATTGTCCTCTGACCTTTCGTTTGACGGCTCGTCGGACCATTAACAATGGATCTGGTACCGTTTTGCCACAGTCTTTGTGATTGTTGTACCTTGAGTTGGACGTTACAAGCCTAGTGTCCTTCTGGCATTGTCTTTTGCGTTTGTTTTTTTGTATTAACGTATTTCCCATCTTCTCCCCGTTCCAACGAGCCCTCGTACTTCACAATTGAACCAATAACAATGGAGATACGATATAGCGCCGTTTTGGCAATGTCTTGTTTGTTTTCTATCTCTCAACGTGTTCCCCGTCCCCTCTGCTTTCCAACGATACCTTACACGTAATGATCCGACGAGCCGTCGCGCCTCCACAAAATGAGACAAAAATGACCAGAATCGACCTTAGATTTTCTTATGGAGATTTACATGGGAAATTGACCTGTTTTGGGCTAGTTCTCTCCTAGCCCCTTTACTTGGGTATGTGTTTTTTATGTACAATGATCCCGATTCCACCGCTGGATGAATGTTCCTCTCCTCTGTAGTGGAACAGGTGTCCTGATTTCAATGTTTGTTGTTCTTCTCCTCTCCTTCTAATTTCACTAAGTCCCATTACATCCCATTTTATTGTTTTTAATTCGTTTTCCAGTTCTATTAGTTTATGATCGGTTGAGAGGGTTCTTATATTATAGGATGCAAGATGCAGTATTCTTGTGCAGTTTAGCCGTCTTGAGTGGTAGCCTGGTCCATCCCGGGTATTCTTAGCACCCTCTGCTCTTAATCTTTTCTGTCCGCTACCTTGGTCAGAGATTTTTGAGCTGCCGGGAACTGAGGGCCGTGTTTGGTTTGTGTTTTGCATGTTTACGGGGGGGCATGTATAATTCCACTTACAATAGAACCTTTCTGTCTTAGAAAGGTAGATAAAGATAAATAGATTAGAAAAGATAAAGGTAAATATCTACGTAAATTTGACTTCGCCTTCGCGCAGCTCCATGGTCAGGAGTGCTTGAACTATCTTTAAGCAAGAACAAGATCGAGGAAGACAGGTTTTATGCTAAAGGAAAACTTTTAGACAGAGTGCACAAATATCAGTACTTAGGTTGCGAACTAAATGAAGAATGGGAGAGCAGTACGGAAATAAAACGGCGTATTGAGATAGCTACAAGTGCTTTTAATTAGATGAAAGCAATATTATGAAATGGAATGCATTATTTTGAAAACACAACATTGAAATTAGAACTAGAGTATTGAGATGCTACGTGTTCTCTGTCCTGTTGTATGGAGTTGAGGCCTGGACAATTGCAGAGGCGACAGAGAAAGGACTGGTTAAATTTGAAATGTGGTGTTATCGAAGACTGTAAAAAATATCTTGAACACAACACATAAGAAATGCGGAAACGCTACGAAGAATGAAAAAAGATAAAGAAATACTCAACACTATAAAGAAAAGAAAAATGAGCTATTTTGGTCACATATTAAGAAACGAGAAATACGAAGTGAAGCGGTTGGTCATACAAGGAAAAAAACAAGAGTATTTTATGCTATAGTTGGTGCTTTAAATGGGGTAGTGATGCGCATTATAAGATGTTGCTTCCAGTTAACACATCTAGCCTCCCCTACTCAATTCCTATCCTCACCTCCGAGAAGTGTGATCCGGATCACACGGGTAAACAACGGTAAACCTGAGCAACCCTACTGGAGACTGGGTAACCAACCCCAGTAGAAGGTGGGGTCAGGGCTGACGAGGAAGGGAGAAATGGTCCTCCGAAAAGGGGGTTGAGCAGTGGGTTAACACCCCCCTCCCGTAAAAGAATTTTACGTTACGGAAAATTCAAAACAATCTGCCGGACGGTCTATTTGTCGACGACTTGGCAAACAAAATAAGGCTAATGATTAGAGTATGGAGAAGAGTTGCCAGAGACAGGGGCGAATGGAAGATTGTTCTGAAGAAAGCTTTGGCTCATAAAGAGCTGTAACGCCACTGATGATCATGATTTTATGCTATATTAATGTGTTCAGTTTTATTTCAAACTAAATAAAAATTTGAAAAGTTGAGTCGTTTACGTTTCCTGCTCTGGTGAACAATTTTCGAATTGGCGCTTACAGTGTTTCAATTTGGGACAGCAGAGCGACAGAACTATAAAGACCGCTGCTATAAAAAACTGTCTGCATTTCTATAGTATACGTCTGGTATATAATTATTTAAATTAGTCCGTTTGGTTAGCTAACTACTAAATTTATCTATTGTATAATTTTAAAACAAAATAATAAGTTATTTTTTTGTAAAATTATACTTACAGATATCTGCAACGTCACCTAACTATCTATAAACATTTTCCACATAACAACTGATAAAAACAACAGTTCACAGAAAAATTACATGCAATAATTTTAGATTATCCCGAAGTGAGTACGTTTCTTTTTGAACACTACCGCCGATTTCAATGTCGTAAATCATAATGTCGTCTATTTATTAATTTTGATATCCGAAATATAAGTAGGAAAGGAAGTATAAAGTTATCAAAAATTTAACGCAACAAAGCTCGTGTTCGGCCTATCCACAAGTGTAAATTGGAGACAATAAGAGGTCTTCAAAGACCAGTGGTGACTATTCGATTAATAGCTGATTTAATATAAATCGTCCGGTGTGTGAGGAAGGACATATACGGGGGAAATAAAATAAAGTTTTAAATATTAGACATATTAATAAAAATAAACATAAGTAAAATAAATAATTGAAACATTATCTGTTTTATCATTATAAGATTTTTAACAAAGTTTTATTTAGCGATGGATCGAAAAAGAATATCCAGTTTTTGGACAAGTAGGCAAAATGTCTTCATTTAACACTAGAAAGTCGGAGGGTCCAATTTGGCCCCTGTTGCGATTTGAAGTTATTGTAGTTCTTTTATTTGACACAATAATAATTTCATATTTTATGACTTTTAATATTTTGATACAAAGTCTTATTTAACGCAAAAAAAATTGTTTACTAAATTTATTAAAGGGATTTTCTAACAAACCTACCATAGAAGTCTGATAGGGCCAAACTGTCCCTGTATTAATTATTATCGTTTTCTCGGAAATTTGACGATTTCTTTTAACTTTCTGTCAGATAGATAAAATTATGTTTATGTACGTTTATTTCTAGAAGGTATTTTGTTACATACTGTTTGTTACTTGAAAGTATTTTGTTTATTGAGTGGTTTATTAGGTTCTGCTGACTCTTGTTTCTAGAATACTGAAACATTCGTTCAATTGTAAAAATTCAAGACGACTGTAAAGATGTCTCGTCGTGGACTATCAGAGCTTGAACTTCTTAAAGAAATACGAAAAATACAAGGAGGTGTTTCGGGAGGTGAATCTGAATTTGCAGAAAATAATGAGCCAGACGATGAACAGTACGTACCACCACAAAATATTGATTCAAGTGACTCTGATGCTTCAGAGCAGTTAGAAAGTTTTATTGTACAAGACTCAACAATTTATGTAAACACTGCTTCTACAACTCAACAGCACGAGTCAGCTAATTTTATCGTGAATCCAAGTGGATCTAAGCCAAGTCACAAAAGAAAAAGAGGTCAACAAGGAAAAACTATTTCAATCGGAGACAACAAACAATCGAAAGACAAAACAACATGGAAAGTTATTGATTCTGGATCAGCACCTGGTAAGATTATGATTTTTACTATCTTCATATTCATTGAATGTTTGCTCATTACAGGACGCCGCGCTCAGCACAACATTTATCGAGAGTAATCAGGTCCTACGTCGTATGCAAAAACGTGAGCAACAATTGTGTGGTAAGTGTTTGGCATCTAATAATCAACGACAGCATGTTACGTCATATAAAAGAATGCACTATTGCAGAAGCACATGGATGTTTGAAAAATGACACATGGACTATAACTTTGGAAGAACTGGAGGCTGCCCTTGCTATTATGTACGCAAGAGGAGTCTACGGCGCCAAAAATTTCCCAACCAACAGCTTGTGGTCAACAGTATGGGGTCCTCAGTTTTTTAGGCAAACTATGCCACGAGACAGATTCAAGGATATTATAAAATATCTCAGATTTGACATAAAGCAAACGAGATCTGAACGATTGAAAACCGACAAATTTGCTCTAGCCTCTGCGGTTCGGACTGGATTTATAGAAAATAGTGGTGCATGTTACAAACCGGGAATAAACCTTACTGTGGACGAACAACTACTGCCTTCTAAAGCCAGGTGCCCGTTCACACAGTACATATCAAATAAGCCGAATAAGTTTGGCATAAAATTTTGGCTTTTGACATGCGTGGAATCAAAATATATTGTAAATGGTTACCCTTATACTGGCACTGATCATCTACGCAAGAAAGATACAAGTATTGGTGAACATGTTGTTTTGCGGTTAATGGAAAATCAACGAAAGGGCAACAATGTTACGACAGATAACTACTTTACATCGTTAAAATTGGCTAAGGAATTGCAAAAAAAAATCAACAAATCTTGTGGGTACTTTGAATCGCAACAGAAAGGAAGTTCCTCTAAGCGTAAAGAGTAAAAATGGAGAATTATTTGTTACCCATATATTCCAGAGCGACGAAAAGATAACACTTATTGCTTACAAAGGAAAGAGTCACAAAAATGTGCTTTTGTTCAGCTCATTACATCAATCAGTGGATTTTACTGTCGATGGAAAAAAGCTTCCTTAAACAGTAAGTTTTTTATAATAAAACAAAATACGGGGTTGATGTAGTGGACCAAATGGCGCGTCTTTATACTACAAAAGTTGCTTCAAGACGAAGGCCAATGCACGTGTTTTTATAACATTCTTGACTTAGGAGCAATAAATGCATGGATTATTTATAATGAAGTTACTGGAAGTAAAATCAGCCGTCGTAAGTTTATTCTTCAGCTGTGTGAAGAATTACGGGCTCCATACCTTGCCTCCAGAAATCTGGTACTATACCCAGCACCAACGGATTTACCAACCACCAGCACTGTTACTAGCCAAAAAAAGAAAAAAATGTCAGTTAAAAATGTTTTGTAACGGAAATCATACTTCCAATGAGTGCCACGGCTGTAACAAGGCAATGTGTGGCAAATGCCAAGAACTACAAACTGTATGGTGTTCCAAATGTTTAAAATGAAACTAAAAAATTAAATAAAATTCTATCGTCAAGAGTTTATATAATTTCTTAAAACTGTTTATTTTTATCTTTTGTTTATTCCCAAATAAAGAGTTAATTCTAAACTTGGTTTTTATTGATTTAGGAACTTGGGGTCAAAATGATCCCTTCGGGCTTTCTAGGTAGGTATTCTAAGCCCGACTTTCTAGTGTTAAATCATGATATGTATTTACAATTTTAACAACATAAATATAAATACTACGCAATCTAGAATGTTTAAGTATTTTATCAAATACAGAAAACTAAAGTCAGATTTAAAACCAGAAAACTGGTTTTTGATCTAATATGCAAAAGATTTTAATAAAAACATAAAATTTTGGATATGCTACAGTAAACGCTTATCTATATAAAATAAAACTTTCCGAAACTGATATAGGTGAATGTAGTGGCAGGTATGACGACCTTAACCACTAGATGTTGCAATGTCGGTATAATCAAGAAGCCATAAAATTTTTATTTCAAGCCATCTCCCAACAAAAATCATACTGCCGCAGAACGTTGTTTCTATTCTCTATTTAGGTAGTCTTGGAGTGTTAGAAGTCTATATCAAGCTGAAAAAGTACATAATGCCGTTAAATAAATGGAAAGGCTGAATAAAGATATTTTAGGAATCAGCGATGTCCAATGGCCCGACAATATAAAAAAGACCAAATACATAATAATTACAAAGAAAACAAATATACCAACAAACAGAAATTTGGGAAATGTACCGATAGAAAGGGTGGATAAATACAAATACCTAGGAACCAGATAATAATGCTCAAACAAGCGAAATAAGAGCCAGGATAGAAATAGCAAGAAATGCGTTTGTAAAAATAAAAACAATTCTCTGCAACAAAGACCTTACATTAGAACTGAGAGTAAGAGCACTGAGATGCTACGTGTTTTCGATACTTCAATATAGACTTGAAATCTAGATATTGAAGCAAGAACACATAAATAAGTTACAGTCCTTTGAAATGTGGTGTTATAAAAAGATGCTTAGAATAGCATGGATACAGAAGAAAACTAACACGGAAGTATTGCGAGAAATGGGCAAAGAATGCGAAATAATAAACACAATAAAAATAAGAAAGTTATAGTACCTACGACAAGTAATGAGGTGAGCGAAAACTCTCAGAATTGATAATATTTTATTTATTAAGAAAATAATAGGAAATGTTATGGATCTAAATGAATTGATTTAATTGGAATTTTATAGCTAAGAGTCTAATAGCATTTAAAATTTAATATTTTTAAGTTCGTCATAGGATTGTAATCTCCATTTTTTAACCAATTAGTTTTAGTTTTAAGAAACTAATTTAGCCAATTTTTTTAAGAAAAAATTAATATTAACTTATTAGTTCTTAGTTAACAATTAACAATCATATCCTTTATTTCAAATAACAATAAAAAATCAGTCGATGCGATATGGTCTAGGTTGACGACCTATATATTAGCTTTCATGATGACATTAAAGACAGGCGAAAGACTCACGCTTTAAAAGAGAATTCAAAGGTACTTTTCGAGTATACGCTTTGGATTTACCAATACTCCTAAGTCAATTTATAAACAAATTAAGCTATTTAGTGTAATACACCACGAAGCATTTTAAATTTTTAATATCTAATTTTTTATTTTATATATTATCTTGAAAATAAGTCACACTCAATCAATAAATAATAAACTCACACATTTTAAAATTGGGCAAAAAATAAGTCTAATATCTTAGCCTCGACTAAGGAAGTTTTTGTTGAAAGAAATATAAATAAAAATAAAACGTTTCCAAGGCGAAGAACTCCATGGTTTTGTACAGAAAAACTATAAATTTAATTTTAACTACAAATTGTTCAAGAATTGTAATTAACACCGAAACAGATTTACAACAATGTCGTACAACGACTATTGTCAAAAATCCTTCGATGACACAAATTTAGGAAACAAACTGTCACAGGTAATGTAAACAAAATAATAATAAAGGCGATGGAGTTAATTTTGCTGGTGAGTTAAATCATCTGTATTGATGAAAAACATGAGCTGATAAGAAAGATATGGTTGAATAAACAGCTACCAAAGGAGTGGAATAGCGGCATTATTGTACCACTACATAAAAAAGGAAACCAGTTAGAATGTGAAAACTACCGTGAAATCACGCTGTTGAATGCGGCATACAAAATAATGTCCAACGTAATGTATGAAAGACTTAGACCATACGCTGAAAAAATATTGGCAAATACCAATGTGGCTTCTGTAGACAGAAGTCAACAATAGACCAGATATTTGTTCTGCGACAGATCGTTGAAAAAACAAGTGAATATAACATCGACACACATCATCTCTTCATAGACTTCGAAAGCGCATATGACAATATAAACCAAGAATTCCTAACAAAAGCAATGAAAGAATTTAATATACCAACACAGCTAATAGAATTGATAAAAGAAACA